TCTTGAGGCCTGTTAACAGCTTGTCCCCTGCATGTTGCTGAGGGCTGGTCTAGATGACCTTTGGTGATCCCTTCTCATGCCAGGAAGGAATGGAGAGAGGGAGGAAAGAAAGGGATGGGGGGAGGAAAGAAGAAAGGGAGGGAGGGAGGGAGACAGGGAGGAAAGAAGGAAAGGAGGGATGAAGGAAGGGAGGGAGAAAAGAAGGAAGGAAGGAGAGGAGAGAGGAAGGAAAGGGGCTTGAGGGTGAGGAGAGAAAATTATTTCTCTATTAAATTTAAACAAACGTATGAAATCTGAATAGTTTACAGGTTCTGCAATTTTAACACCACACCCTGCATTTAAAATAATAACTATAATAATAATACTAATATTAATAAGTTTATCCACCCTCAGGGCTCAAGGCCTCACAGTTGAAAGCCACCATTTCCTGCCCGGAGCCCGTCAAGAGATCATCCAGCCTCTCCCAGGATTCCCTGGGACTTCTGGGGATCATTTCTGCGGGATCCACGGGGTTTTTTTTCTCCTCCTCTTGGCCTGTTGGGGGAACGGAATTGCTGTGCTGAGTTTCTCTCTGCCGCCTTTTCGGGCGTCGTGTGTGTTTCAGGGCCGCCGTGGGCGTGCAAAAGTTTCAGGGGGGAATCGTATGAATTGTGCAGCAGTTTCTATTTGAGGAAAGAAGAAAGGAACCACCTTCAAACGGCATCGCACGAAAGGAAGGAGACATGAGGAGGGAAGAGGAAAAAAATAAAAATAATCTCCCCCAAGCTCCCTTCTTAACCCAAACGGATTCTTTTATCCGGAGAAGAGAAAAACAAATACATATGTACATATATACATATAAACAACTGTAAAAGTCTGACTCACAGACGAACCCAATACAGAAGCCTGATGATGGCAGATGAGATTCTGCCGAAACGTTGCTACAACTTTAAAAGCACAACTATAATGACATGAGAAAATACCCAAACAAAGCTGAATACCATACATATAAATACCCGCAAAAACTTAAGAAAACAAATACATATATACATATATACAAATGTACATATATTCATCCATCCATCCATATATACATACATACATACATACATACATACATACATACATACATACATACATACATACATACATAAATACATACATAAGGTCCTTGGCCTGATTGGAGATGGGTGCAGAAAAGGGGCGAACCCCAATACCAAACTCTCTTCCCAAAATAGTCTTTTTTTTAAAAAAAGAAAGCTGCACTATGCAGACCCTTCCTTCCTTCTTTCCTTCTTCTTTCCTCCCTTCCTCCTCCTCAAATGTTCAGTGGGATTAAAAGGGAACTTTATTTCCCCCTTTCCCTCCTTTCTTCCCATCTATCTCTTCTTCTTCCTTCCTTCCTTCCCATCCCTCCCTCCCCCCTTTTCCTTCTTTCCTTCCTCCCTCTCTCCCCCCCGGAAGAATCTCTATTGCCCAGTTTCAAATATTTATATTCTACACGTCTTTCGGGGTGGGGAATGGTTTGTTTCTGCCCTGACATAAACCTGATAATATTTCCTGCTGTTCTCCATGCAGAAAATCAAATAGGTAAGTTTAAGGGAGGGAGGGATGGATGGATGGATGGATGGATGGATCAACCAATCAACTAGATAAATTTAATGGATGGATGGATGGATGGATCAACCAATCAATCAGTCAATAAATCCATCCAGGGCTGTTTGAGGGTCAGTTCTGTAGACCCAAATGAAATAAATGGGATTTTAGAGAAGGAGAAAAATAATGAGAAAAAGGAAAGGAGGAAAGAAGGGGAAGGGGAAGGAGAAGAAGGAGAAGGAGAAGGAGAAGGAGAAGGAGAAGGAGAAGGAGAAGGAGAAGACATAAAAGCAGACCCAGCCCTGATGTTTGCAGGGGTTGAGCCAAAGAATCAGTGTGTTGAACACAAAATCTCCATGGTGTGTGTGTGTGTGTGTGTGTGTGTGTGTGTGTGTGTGTGTGCATGCGTAGGGAGAGGAGGATTTTGCCAGGAAGGGCGGGGTCAAACCTCCGGAGGGACTTATAAAAGAGGGACACCGTGTCCTGGCAGCTCATCCCATCCGAGACCAACCTTGCTCTCTCGTACCGATCGACGCCGGAGGTAAGTGGGGAGAGTCCTGGTGGTGTGGGGCTCTTGGCCAGGGGTTCAAAGCCTCCCTAGAACCAGAAGGCAACCACCTGGGACGTGTTAGGTGGGGTCACCCTATCTAGGCAGGAGAATCTGGGGCGAGAGCTCCCCGTGCAGCTTTGGGGTCTGAAGATCTGGAGAACTTCAGCTTTGCAGCCTGAGGGCCAAGCAGTTAATGGGAGAACCATGAGGACTAGAGACTTGGAAGAGCCTAGGGCTCCCAAAAGACTCTGGAAGGTCCAGGAAGGGTGAACTGAAGCAACATCTCGTTGGCTCTTCATTGCAAGCCCACCTTCTTTCCAGACCTTCTCTTAATTGTTTTTCTTTAAGGTCTCTTTGGTGGTTCTCCTCCTCCCCCTCCTTTCATCTAAGAGATCAGCTGAACCGTAGAATCATAATATCATAGAATCCTAGGGCTGGAAGGGACTTTGGAGGTCATCTAGTCCAACCCCCCTGCCCCAAAAGCAGGAGATCTGATTCCATCCCGGTCTAATGGTGGTCCACTTTATTCTTGAAAACCTCCAGCAATGGAGAACCCACCATTCCTGGGGGGGTAACCCATTAACTGAGTGTTCTCGCCTCCCGTTTAATGGGAATTAATTCAATTCTTGATAAGTTTCTCTAAGATTGGGAAGGATTGTTTGGGGAGTTTGGGGAGGGAAAGGAAGGGGGAAAGAAATTAAATGGACCACAGAGGCTAAATCCAACCTTTTGTGCTCAGAGCTTTGGGGGAGTCGAAGGCTTCCAACCTCGCCAGGCGATAAAGGGATTGATAGTCTATCAGTATATTTAAATGTAAATGGACATTTATATTTCCAGACCAGAAGCGAAGCGAGATGCCTCAGACTCAGATGGAAAAATGCTGCGAATGCATCATCGATGTCTTCCACAAATATTCCATGCAAAAAAAGCCCTACGACATGCTCTCCAAGGCTGAGTTAGCCCAGCTGCTGAGGGAACAGCTTCCAAACTTCATCCAGGTGAGAAGAAAACCTTTTCCTGGTCCACTGAATTAAACACATTTTAGAATATCAGGGCAGGGGAAGGGGAAAGGAGAAACTAGAAATGGAGGCCCAGCACGTGAGAAGCTTGGAAGTCGGGAAGGGAAAGTCGGCAAGAGACTTTCTAGGGAGTGTTCTGACCCAAGACTCATTCAAATCAAATAAACACAAAGTATTTAGAAAAGCAAACCTTTTGAATGTGTCTCTGTGAATTCTGTCCATTCACAGCAAGGAGTCATTAAAACTAATTGTCCCAGATAAGAGGGTGTGAAAAGCTGTCAAGAACACAAGATTAATTGCAGGGAAATATCCAGAGACAAAAGCTGCCTAAAACAAACCAGAATAGACAGGAATTCCATGAGAACTTGGAGTTGCAATAACTTCTTTGCTTCCTGCAAAGAAGCCAACCCCCAAAGGCTGGATAATAAAAGATACAGTCAGTCCTTGACTTACAGGCCAGAACTCAGCCCCAAATCTCTGTTGTTTTTGTTGTTTTTAGAAACAGCTCGTTCCATATTCATATACAAAAGCAAAAAGTTGGGGTATCTCTTTTGTACTGTGCTAGGAAGTGTTGGAAGTCACGGCTTCCTTTTCTTTCTTTTTTTCCTCTTCCCCCTTCTATTTCACGCTCCCTTTTTCTCCCTTCCCTTTCCTTCCCTGAATTCCTCACCTTCTTTTTTTCTTTCTTTTGTGTCTTATACAAATAAAAACGTTATACCATAAAATGTATGCATTTTTTAGTATTTATATTTTTATACCATAATAAAAAAAGAAATGTAAAAAGGACAAAACGAAAGGCAGCTTTTCCAGGCCATTTCCCTTGTAACCGTTAAAAAAAACAACGCACCAACATTGTTTGTCCTTCTTTGGGATTTTCAGGGCAGTAGGGACCCCGCAGCCACCGACCGTCTTTTCAAGGAGCTGGACCAGAATAAGGATGAGAAGGTATCCTTCGATGAATTCATGCGTCTCGTTGGCACCGTCTTCACTGTTTCCTACCGTGACCTCTGAGGCAGCGACGGGAGACCGAGATTGCTTCGCCTTTCTAACCTAACCTGGTTTACCCCCACACCCAACCTTCCAGGCTCCGGGGCTCAGGCCTGGAAGGGGCTGAGGAGGCACAATAAAGAATTTAATCTTCTCTCCCCCCAAAATAATGGCTTTGTTGTCGTGTCCTTCAAGGTTTAATTTTGGGGGAGGGTCCCGAATAAATTAAGGGCCTTTCAAGCTGGGCTAATGAAGGCACCTAAAGGTAATAAATAAATAAACAAACCATCAAATTGGGGGTTCTCCCCCCCCCCAGCTGGAGCCTTTTAAAAAGAGGCTGGCCCTCTTGA